ACTGAGAAATATGGTTCCTCCATATGTGAGCGTGGTCGATTGTGCAATTTGCATACGCGTGTATACTAGCGCAGTGACCCCAGGGCCTTTCTGGAGTTGCGATCGCCTGTTGTTTTGGCGTTTGGCTGTTGTTTTGGCAAGAATGTATGTTTATTATATGAAATGAAATTTTTGGGGATGCTGTGCGTACGGCAATAATAGCAGTTTGTAAATGTTGCCGTTTGCTAATCACTTGAAGCTAATCTCGTCTTACCGGGATTGTGGGTACTGTTATATTTCAGCTTGTACGGACGCATGCGTAGATGCGCAGCTGCATGCACGCATATGCATGTTTGAAGCTCTAATGGGACGATGTGAAGGGGAAGTTCTGATTCAAAGGCTTGTTCTTCGGAACTTCCTGGCGTGGGGTCCTTCGGCAACGCAACACAGCAGTACGCGATGAGAGGCACATCCAGACATTAAACAAAATGTGAGCCTACTGCACTACTGTGCAACAGAAACATCTTTTGGAGTTCAGCACCAACTAGGCGATTGCTGCTGCCTCTGAATTGGAAGAGGCGTCTGTAGTAGTTGTTGAGTGTAGGATAGTGCAGGTTGGTGGTACTCGTTCGGCGAGATTCTCATAGGTGTTTTGTGTTCAGTGGACGTGCAGTTGGCGGTTGTATTATTGGTTGTTTTTCGCCGTTGGCAGCCTGTGTCGAGCTCCTCATAGTCCTCGAATATGGTAGCGAGACGAAGACGGGCAGTAGGCCATCGGCCTTCTCATATGCGGTGCTCCAGGCAAGCGTTGCGACTTGGCATGAAGCAGTTCTACAGGGACAGCAAATGCTGCCAGCTGCACTTTGTTGGAGAATTGGGCCTGCGTTGCCTGGCCTGGAAGAAGCGTAGCCTGTCAGCGAGCTCAGACACAATGCAGCATGCGGCAGAAAGGTGGGGGATTTTTTGCGTGACGGCTGTGGCGTGTGCAGTTTGTGTGCACTGGCCTACTGATGCGATGTGTAAAACTGGTATGGCCTAACAATCGCGAGGTACTTCACCCAGGAAGTACGCCCGTTGAAGTAACCCATTCTGTTCCCACATGGTCTAGTTGTTGCACCCCGTTGATTACGATGGCAACCATGGTTGTGTATCTGCGAACGTGCCGGGAGCCTTCACGCCTCCATGGCGTGAAGGCTGGTCGTGCTGTCACTGGGCTTTTCCTCCGAATCTACTGTGGACAGCATTTTTTCCAGGTGCCGTATGCGTTTGGTAGATAGAGCAAAACGTTTGAAATGATCCCCGTGAATTGGTAAGGCACTCTCTCCAGCGCAATGCGTGGTGGGAGGCAGCAGAGACTCCGTTGGGACTGAGGCAGAACGCAGTTATTTCGGAGGTCAAGTTGGTCACGTTGGTTGTGTACAATATTATTTGTTCTGGCGAGAAACGGTATAGCGTAATGGTGGACGGTTCTCAGCTGGAGTGACCCAGATACACTTTTAGATAGTTCTGGCGCTTGCACGGCGGGACACTGGACTAGTAGATTGATGCGCATTTCTGGAGCAGAAAAACTGATGGTGCAACCCTAGTTTCACGCGCGTCGCTTGACTCGGCAGGAATATAAGAAGTTGTGTCTTTTTGGCAGGTTCAGTACTCCACCGATTTTCATTCGAGCTCAGCGCGGCACAACCAGCTGTTCGTAGCGCTCCAGCAAGGCAAGGCTAACTCCCTCATGCCCTTAGTCTACAGGCATGTCGCGTTTGCCATATACATTGATAACACCGATTCTCATGGTTCTTCCCAGCAGCAATTCCAATGGGGAGCAAAACACAGCAGGCCAGAAGTCCCGCATGTAATATTTATTTTGCTCTTTATTGGTTTGCATACGAGCCCTACACATAACTCCACCAGTACCAGTATTCGGGATATTTGCCTCAATGCCACCGTTAAGATTGGCCGGCGAACATCATTGGCCGGTGGTGTTCATCGATGCAATCCCACACCTGTGTAAAAGGCCTCTGGTCACACAAGGCTGGCGTTGCTGCTCAGAGAGTATGCACTTCCTTGCACGCTCGTGTTGCTTGCCCCTGCATGGCTACAGTTACGTTACTGGCCTCCAATAGGTTGCGTGGAGGCGTCTTGGATGCGTATAACAATGCATGCAGACGCAGGGGGCTGCAATATGAGAAACCGTTGTCGGTTGGTTTGGTTTGGCTGTTATACTTTCCTCTTTTTACTGGGGAATCGTTTTCGACTAGATCAGCTACGATGAGCTTTGTTGTACGTCAGGCGTTAGCCAAAACCTTCTTTGGCGTTGCCGCCATTTTCTGTTTTATGGTGGTCCACGCGGGCAACGATACGGAAAAAGGGTGCGGGGATGCAAAGGATTCAGGCACTGGACTGGTTGTGGCACGTACGAAACCCGCGGATTAGATTCATACGTTCGGCACAAATATGGGTATTGTTACGATTCAGCTGGTGAGAACGCACGCATGAATGTATGTGTGCGAAAGTTATGAAACTGCACTATGAAAAGCAGCGACAAGCCGACAATGCTTTGTTGATGCATCCCACCCGACCAAATGTCCCTGTCAAATAGCATATCACTGGGACGTGCTTGCTACTTATTTCCCCTGGATGCAATCTCTGCAATTCAGGGTGTTCCTAAATCCTTTACACATTCATGCGCGAAGGTGGTGGAGGATGCATTCTGTAGTGCTGGGAATATACCTCATAGCCATCGCAGTCTTTGGGTTCTGCTTTCAACAATTTGTGACACGACAACGAAGTTCCATGGAATGCGATGCATCGTTATGCAGTTGGCATTAAGCGCAGGTTAGGCTTGCTTGCCTGGGTGGTATCAGGTTTGTCTGTTTGCCGAATGGTGTACATGCACAGTTTGACGGAGAGGTTGGGGAAGTGAATATGTGAGAATTTGGCGGTTATGCAATGTGTGGATTTAGGGCCGCAGTGTGACGAAGGCTTTTCCGTTAATTCGGTCTCCTATTACGTTGCCCAGAAAGTACGGACATTTACACAATCTAATTTTCGTTGCCCCTGTCGATGCGTGTTCTTAGAGTCTATGACTTTTATTGCAGACTTTGGTGCATCTGTACGTGGGAGCAGTTGTGTGGAGTTGCGGTGCATGGAGAAGTTGGAGCACATCTTGTGCTAACCGTGCTGCTCCTTGATATCGAATGCTTCATCATGTTCCGCCGTTTGCAATACGATTTGGGGTACTGGAAATGACAGTGCAAACAGTGCTAGACAATCGGAGGCGCAACATGCGTCCAGTGCAAGGGGTTGTGGGGAGCGCAATTCTGTCTGTTAAGGGGACTAGTAAAGGGTGGGCGGCCGCCACAGGCTCGAAGACTAAATATTTTGTCTATCCGCTGGCTGCTTGCATACGAAAAATAGCTTTTATTGCGAGGGGTAGATTTTGGTTGCTATTGATTTGTCGAGTTGTTTTGTTTATGGGGAGCACTGGCACGTGCAAGGATGGCACGGCTATTCAGTGGAACTATTCTCGGCAATTCATGGTGTTCGTGACGCCTTTACAGAGTCCCGGTTTTCGAAGGTGTTGCTTGTACAGTTGGCATTAAGCTCAGGGTTAGCTCGGTTTCCTGAATAGTACCATTTTTTCCCGCCTGTCGACTGGTGTACATGCAAGATTTGATCGACAGGTAGGGGCCGTGAATCTGTAAGCATGTTGAAGTTATGCAGTTTATGTTTGCGCAGTTATGACTGCTGTTTGACAGAGTGCTTCTGTCCGTTTGGCCCCCTATTACGTTGCTTAGGAAGTATGGACATGGACACCTCATTTTCGTTGTCCCAGCATCCAGGTGCTCAGGCTGTAGACCCTGTATTGCAGGCCGAGGTGAATGTGGGCATGGGAGCAGTTGTGTGGAGTTAAGGTGCAAGATGTTGGAGCTCAGTTGTGTTGGCAATGCAGCTCCTTGATATCAAATGTTGCATCATGCTCCGTCGTTGGCAAACCGGATTCGCGAGACTGGTAATGGCAGTGCAAACGGTGGCAAAGAATCGAACACGCAATATGCGTGCAACACAGGGGACCTTTGTGGAGGGCAGTTGCTACACAGTTATGTGTATCATTTGTTGTGTATCATCTAGGATAAGTGGATTATGTATGACGGTAGCTGTTTGCCGGACAAGGGGATTAGTGAGGGGCGGGGCACGGGAAAAAGCCCGACGATGAATAATTGTGTCTACAATTTGGCCATTTGCCTACGGGAAATTGGCCTTTTGCATGCGAGAAAAGGGAGCTTGTAGTCCAAGGGGTGTCATTTGGTTTGTCGAGGTTAGCCGATTTGTTTTGTTTTGGGGGACGCTGGAATGTGTCAGGCTGCAACAGATATTCTCTGGATATAATCTCCACAGTTGAGGCTCTTGTTAACACCCTCATATAATAGCTATGCTGGAACGTAGTGCTGTGCTTAATTTTTGGTGGTGTGTTATATATCTTGCAAACCTTGCAGCGTTTGGGTTATTCTTGGTCTTTCAACAGTATGCGGTATGACAGGGACGTTTGATGGAAGCTGTATTTTTGTGCAGTTGGCATTAAGCCCATGTTGAGTTAGCTTGCCTGGCTGATATCAGTTTTGTCTGTTTGCTGACCGGTGTACATGCACCATTTGATGGAGAGGTTGGGGACGTGCCTGTGTGAGCCTGTTGCGGTAATGTAATCTCTGCGTGTGTGCATCGACAGTGTGACAAAGCCTTTTCTGTCCGTTTGATCCCCTATTACGTTGCGCAGAACGTATGGGCATCGACGCAACTTCATTTTCGCTAACCGGTCATGGGCGCGCGTAGGATGTAGACCTTGTATTGCAAACACGGATATTGTTCGTGTGACGCGTTGCGTGGAGATGCGATGTTGGAGCTCAGTTATGTTGACCATGCTCCTCCTTGATATCATATATTTCTTCTTTAACCGACGCTTGCAATACGGATTAGGCGGACTGGAAATGACATTGCAAACAGTGCGACGGAACCGGACACGCAGTATGCGTGAAGCACATGCAGTGAATGGAGAGAGCATTTCCTACGCAATTATTTGTGTTATACGCTCGGCATTATTGACGGATGAGTGGGCTTCGCATGACGGTAGCTATTTGTCGGGTAAGCGGACTGGAGAAGGGCGGGGAATGGTGATGGGCTCGACGATCAAGATTTGTGTCCATCAGCTCGGCTCCTTCGTACGAGAAAGAGAAGCCTATAATGCAGTGGGTTGCTTTTGGTTTGTCCAGAGTAGTCCAGTTTAGGGGGGCCTGGAGTGCATATGGTTACCGCATATTTTCAGTGGTATACAGTATACTTCCCATAATCCAGGGTGACCGTAGCAGCTCTGCATTATCCCTACGTTCAAAGGTGGTGCAAGCACATTATCTGGTGGCAGTTATGTATGTTGCATGCCTTGCAGTATTGGTGCTGTTGTTGGTGTTGTGGCAGTGTACACCTTGACAGGGCAGTTTTATGGAATGCGATATGTCTACGTGCAGTTGGCATTAAGCGCAGGTTAGTTTTGCTTGCCTGGGTGGTATCAGGTTTGTCTGTTTGCCGAATGGTGTACATGCACAGTTTGACGGAGAGGTTGGGGAAGTGAATATGTGAGAATTTGGCGGTTATGCAATGTGTGGATTTAGGGCCGCAGTGTGACGAAGGCTTTTCTGTCAATTCGGTCTCCTATTACGTTGCTCAGGAAGTATGGACATTTACACAATCTAATTTTCGTTGCCCCTGTCGATGCGTATTCTTAGAGTCTACGACTTTTATTGCAGACTTTGGTGCATCTGTACGTGGGAGCAGTTGTGTGGAGTTGCGGCGCATGGCGACGTTGGACCACGCTTTGCGTTAACCGTGCTGCTCCTTGATATCAAATGTTTCATCATGTTCCGCCGTTTGCAATATGATTTGGGGCACTGGAATTGACACTGCAAACAGTGCTAGACAATAAGAGACACAATATGCGTGCACCTCACGGGGTGACAAAGGAGAGCATCTCCTACGCCATTACTTGTGTCATAGGTATGACATTAAAGGCAGGTGGGTGGCATTTTTGTGGCGGATGTTTGTCGGATAAGGGTACTAATTAGGGGCGGGCCACAGCGAAAAGCTCACCGAGGAACAATTGCATATAGTGACGCGGTGCCTGAACGACAAAGAACTGCTTCTAGTCTAGTGGGTTGTTTTTGGTTTGGCGAGATTACTTGAGTTGCTTTCGATATGGGGGACGCTGGATGGTGTAGGCTGCCACAGATATTGCCTGGATATAGTCCCCGCAATTCAGGGTCTTTGCAACATTTTCACCAAAGAATGGATCTTCGAACACCTTCGAAAATAGGAAATATTTCAAAGGGGAGACGCTGCAATATATAATGCTGGCATCCCCTTCGAAAATGAGCATTATGTAGTGCTTATCTAGTTTGCAGCCCTCGCCGTGTTTGGGTTCTCCTTGATTTTTCAACAATATGCGAGATGACAGGGACGTTTGACGGAAGGAGATGCATGTTCCTGCAGGGGGCATTAAGCGCAGGTTAGTTTTGCTTGCCTGGGTGGTATTAGGTTTGTCTGTTTGCCGAATGGTGTACATGCACAGTTTGACGGAGAGGTTGGGGAAGTGAATATGTGAGAATTTGGCGGTTATGCAATGTGTGGATTTAGGGCCGCAGTGTGACGAAGGCTTTTCTGTCAATTCGGTCTCCTATTACGTTGCTCAGGAAGTATGGACATTTACACAATCTAATTTTCGTTGCCCCTGTCGATGCGTATTCTTAGAGTCTACGACTTTTATTGCAGACTTTGGTGCATCTGTACGTGGGAGCAGTTGTGTGGAGTTGCGGTGCATGGCAACGTTGGACCACGCTTTGCGTTAACCGTGCTGCTCCTTGATATCAAATGTTTCATCATGTTCCGCAGTTTGCAATATGATTTGGGGTACTGAAAATGACGGTGCAGACGTACCACAGGCACGGAGGCACAATACGCGTACAGGGCACGGAGTGTTTGCGGAGACCAGTACGTACGTAATTATTTGTGTCATAGGTATGACATTATTGGGAGGTGGGTGGCATTTTTATGGCGGTAGCTGTTTGTCGGATAAGGGTACCAGCGAAGGGGGGGGGCCCGGACAAAAGGGTCGACGATCATGGTATTGTCTACGAGCTCGGCTCTTGCATGGGACAAAACGGGTCTTCTAGTCCAGCTGACTATTTTCGGTCTGTCGACCATAGAACAGCTGTGTGCGACGCTGAGATGCGAATGGTTATCTCTGGCACTCCCTGGATATAAAGTCGCCGCAATTCATGTCAAGATTAACACCTTTACATAATTCCGACGTTCGAACGTGGTACACGACGCATTCACTAGTGGCCTTTACACCCCTTGAACGCCTTGCAAGACTTTGGTTCTTGTTGGTCCTGGAACTCTACGCAGCTTGACAGAGATGCATAAATGAGTGGTGTGCATCTTTGCGGAGGTGGAAGTAGTAGAATGTTAGGTTAGCTAGTCTAGGTGCATCCGATTGTGCATGTATACTTCTCTGCAAAGACAAAACTGATGTCACCCATGCAAGCAAACCGCACAATCTGATTTAGAGGTAGGGAACGTAAATGTGTGAGCAGGTTGGGGCAATGTAATTAGCGCGTATGCATGTAGGGCCGCAGTATAACGAAGTCTTTTCTCACCGTGCGGTCCCCCTATTACGGTGCGCAGCAAGTATGGTCACCACCGCAATCTCATTCTCTTTGCCCCAGTAGGCATGTGCTTAGATTCGACACCTTGTATTGCTGACTTGGGTGTATGTGTGCGTGGGAGCAGTTGTGTGGAGTTGCAGTGTAAGAAGTTGGAGCTCGCTTGTGGAGACCATGCTGCTCGTTGATATAAAATGTTTCATCGTGTTCCGCCGTTTGCACTACGGGGTTGGGAGCCTGAAAATGACAACGCAGAGGGTGCCAGAGACCCGGAGACGCAAAATGGTTACAATACAGGGGAGGTTGGAGAAGAGCAACTCCCACAATTATTTGTGTCTATTATTATTATTTGTGTCAGACGTTCGGTAGTATTGGCAGGTGGGTTGTTTTTGTCTGACGGTGGCTGTTTTTCGGAGAAGAGGATTAGTGAAGGGCGGGAAACGGGCAATGGCAAGACGAGCAACAATTCTGCTTATGAGTTGGGCGTTTACAAGCGAGAAAAGGGGGTTTGGAGTGCAATGGTTGTCTGTTGGTTTGGTGTGCTTGTGTGGTTGCTTGCAATATAGTGAACGCTGACATGTGTAATGTTGCCTCAGATATTTCCTGGGCATAGTCGCTGCAATTGAGGTTCTAAAACACCCTTTACATACTCACGATGTTCGTGGGTGATTCAACATCTTTGGTGGTGGATATATATCTTGCAGGCCTTGAAGCATTTGGGTACTTGTTGGTGTTGCACCAAAGTGATACTTGATTGTTGCGTTTGATGGAATGGGATTAATCTTTGTGGAGTTGGGACTAGGAGCAGGTTAGGCTATTTTGCTTGGCTAGTATCAGCTGTCTGTTTGCGTACTGGTGTACATGTACAATTTGATGGAGCGGGTGTGAGCATGTTGGTGTTATGCAGTCTATGTGCAATTGGCGCTGCAGTATGTTAAAGATTTTTCTGTCCGCTTGGCATCCTACTACTTTCCGCAGAAAGTATGGAGATGGACGCCATCAAATTTGCGCTGCCCAGCAACCAGGTGCTTAGATTGTATACCTTGTATTGCAGACCGAAATGAATGTGTGCATATGGGCAGTTGTATGGTTGTACAGTGCAAGACGAAGCTGGAACTTAGTTTTATTGGCCATGCTGCACTTTGATATCAAGTGGTTCATCATGCTCCGCCGGTTGCAATACGGATTTGGGAGAATGCAAATGAGAGTGCAAACGGGTACCGAAGATGCAATATGCGTGGGACGTTTTGGAAGGGCAGTTGGTACACAATTATGTATGTCATTTGTTATGTGTCATGGAGGATACGTGGATTATGTATGACGGTAACTGGTTGCCGGATAATGGTACTAGTGAAGAGCGGGCCACGGGAAAAAGCCCGACAATGAAGAATTGTGTCAACCGTCTGGGCTTCTGCATAGGATAGAAGGGATTTTCTAGTCCAAGGGGTGTCGTTTGCGGTGTCAAGATTATTTGAGTGGTTTTGCATGTCGTTTAAGCTGAAATGCGTCAGGGTGCCCCGGATATTCGCTGTATATACTCTCCGCATTTGACGGTCTTCGTAGTACCTTTATGTGGTCCCTATATTTGAGCGTGGTGCAGGGTAAATTCTTAAGTGGTCTTGAAATTTCTTGGAGACCTTGCAACATTGTGCTTCGTGCTTGTCGTTCAACAAAATGCAGCTGCATAGGGATGTTTGATGGAATGGAGTGCATCTTTGCGTTGTGTTCACCAATATAAGGCTAGGTTACCGTGCCCTGGTGATATCAGTTTTGTTTGTTTGCACGAACACGTATAAGGGCACAATTTGCATGTGCACAATTTGCATGTTGGGGTTATGGGACTGATATGTGTGCAGTTATGGCTTCAGTGTCACGACGTCTTTTGTGACGTCAGGTGTCCTACACGTTGCACAGAGAGTAAGGACATGGATGCAACCTTAGTTCCGTTTTCCCAGCATGCGTATGCATAGGTTGTAGACCTAGTATTGCAGACGTGGGTGTGTATTTGCATGGGAGCAGCTGTGTGGAGTTGCGGTGCATGGAAAATTTGGAGCTCTGTTTGCGTTAACCGTGCTCGTCCTTGGTATCAAATGTTTCATCATGTTGCGCCGTTTGCAATGGGGATTTGGGGTACTGGAAATGACAGTGCCAACAGTGCTAGGCAATCAGAGACGCAGTATGCGTCCAGAGCAAGAGTGATTGGGGAGGACGCTGCCTACACAATTATTTGTGTTAGTCGGCCGGCATTATGGGTGGTTGGGTGGGATTTGTTTGACGGAAGCTATTTCTCGGATAAGGGTTCTAGTTAAGGTCGGGAAACGGCCAGAGGCTCAACGATCCCAAGGTGGGTGTTTGCATACAAGACGGTGCTTATAGTCCAGTGGTTTGTTTTGTCGGGATTAATCGAGTTGTTTCGTATATGGGCGAGGGAATTTGTATTGTTAACACGACTATTCCTAGGACAAGGTCCCCGCAATCCATGGTGTTGTAAACACCTTTATACAGCCCCCACGGTCGAAGGTGGTGCAGGACACATTGGTTAGTGGCGCGTAAGAGGATGCATCTTTGTACCGTCACCGTCATCATTATTCGCTGGTTTGGTTGGCTTGCCTGGGTGATGTGCGATGCCAGGTTTGTCTGTTTTCCTGGTGGTGTACGCGGACAGTTTGATGTAGAGGTAGGGGGCGTGAATGTGTAAGCATGCTGGGGCTAGTTAGTCTGTTTGTGCAATGGCCGGTGTAGTATGACGAGTCTTTTCTGTCCGTTTCGGTGTCCCATTACGTTGCGCAGCAAGTATGGACATTGATGCAACATTAGTTTCGCCACTTGATAGATATCGCTTCATCGTAGTCAGGCGGTTGCTAACCGGATAACCAGAATAGACTCGACATGGCAGTGGGAATGGTGGCAGAAACCCGGAGGTGCGGTATACGGGCAGGGCAAGCCGATATTATGGAGCGCAGCTCGTACGCAACTATTTGTGTCTACGGTATTATTGAGGGGTGGGTGAATTTAGTAGGACTGTAGATGTTTGGGGGCTAGTGACGGGTATGTCATGTCCAGAGTCCCGACGATTATAAATTGCGTTTACCAGATCGTCGCATGCTTACGAAAACCAAGGACATGTAGTGAAGAGGCTGTTGGTGGTGGGTCGAGCTTTGTTGAG